CCGGTGGTTGCCAGAAATCAACCCTGCTCTCATTTTTCTTGTACACATGTCCAAGGTTCTGCACGTGACATGAAACAGTTTTTCTTTTGCTTCCTTCATTACTCTGTGATCAACACTCAGTGTTATACTCAGGTGGGCTTCTGCTGGGAGGTTTGACCCTAGTTCTGTACTAAGGGTACTCAGATTTTGTGTTCTCTCCTGTCTCCAGTGACATGTGATTAAACCTCCGCCTATGAGCTACCTTTTAGAGAGAACTGGATTTATTTTGTCTGGTGAAAAGGAGGCCAAGGGGAAAATTTATCATTCTAACAATTCATGAAAGGAGGCTGTAGCAAGGTGGGTGTCAGTCTCTGCTCCCAAGTAACAAGTGATAAGACCGGAGGAATTGGTCTCAACTTGCACCAGGGGAGGTTTAGATTGGATATTAGGGAAAAATTCAATATCAAGCATTGGAACACACTGTTGAGGGAGGTGGTTAAGTCACCATTCCTGGAGGTGATTTCAAAGAAGTGTAAATGTGGCACATGGGAACATGGGTTAGTGGTAGAGCAGGCAGTGTTAGATTTAGTGTTGGACTTGGTGATCTTGCAGGCATTTTCATGATTCTGTGACTGTGAAGCTATCAGGAGTCTTGGGCATTTGAATTAGACAATTAAGAATGAGACAATCAAAAGATCAGTGCAATCAGGGATTACTACACATACAATGAACCTTTTCTTCTCCACGTATCTGCTAACCCTAGTGAAGAATGGCCCTGCATGGAGCAATTGGTTCCTTCAGACCTTACTGCAATTGTTCTTCCTCGTCATGTTTCCTTTGTGAAGATCTGGCACTCCTCCACTGCTGCATCAAAGCTGATGGAGACTTTCCTTGTCACCAGGAAAACCATTGCTTCTTGCAAACCTTGGTCATATGTACATTGGGTTTGTGGCCATCTTCACCCAGGTGGTTCTGCTGACTGGCCCACCTGCACCCAAGAAAGCAATTGCTTAATCCAAGTCCCCTGATGTGGCCTCTGCTGATCCTGATCCAGCAGCTGCTCCCACCCCATTGTAAGTGTCAAAGAAAGGCAAAGATTTGGAGAAGATATGCTATGAGGAAAGACTGAAGGAGTGTAGCCTTTTCTCCCTGGAGAACAGGACTTTTGGAGAGGACCTTATCACAGTATTTTAGTGATTAAATGGCATCTACCATGAGCACTGAGAGTTTCAGCACAAAGACCAACATGGAGGGGCTGTCCATGAGGGTCACACACTGAGTGAAGAGGAACTGGAGATTATTTGAGTGCTGGCAACTGAGACCACTTGGGTCTCAGCAGGAGCAGATGAAGCCTTCATTTCTAGACATAGCAAGATGTGCACAGGGGCCAGTAAGATGGAGAAAGATCATGTCTCTGTCCTGAACTGAGGGCAGGAGCATGTGTGGAACCTCACAGGTTTCATGGGACACTCTGTACCTGAGTTATTCTGAGCCCAGCAGTGCCTTGAAGAGATGCTTATCTGCATGCAGGAGACCATGGATATCTGGGCAATAACATGGATTAGAGCATTACTCAAGACTGAAGGCAAAGGAATTTTTATATCCTATGCCTACTGCTGCCACCCTTTGAACTTGTGATTTCATTGGTGGCCTCTGTTTGCGCAGTAGTCAAGGTTGTCTTCATTAGCTCCAAAGGGAAGAAGACAGAGGAAAATCCACTGCAGGGACTCCCACCCCCTGCCTTTTTTAGCTTTGCACAGGAGCAGATTGGAAGAGTTGCCACAGAACAAAGGAGAACTTGGAAGCCAAGGCGTGAGAGCACAACAACTTTAATGAGTCTAAGGAAGAAAAGGAGACCACTGGGGCAATCAGTAAAATGCAGTGAAGCTCCTGCGTGGTGTCCATCTGCCTGCCATGCAGAGGGAGAGAGGGCAAAATATCCCCACTTAGACTGGCCTGGAGAGACACAGAAAACAAGTGCTAAGAAAGAGCAGATGGGAGGAAGCTCTGTCGTGTCCCCTCACGTGGCAGTCTTTGGGTGTGTAGGCAACAAGCACAAGAGCAGTGACCATTTCCTGACAACTTAGACAAAACCAAACCGCTCAGAAAGTATCCAAGTGAACATCACCTGCCCACAAGGAATGCCAACAGACTTTGATCTGAGACTTCTACCTCAGAAATCCTTGAGATGCTCATCCCAGCACTTACAGAATGAGATCTTTACCTAGGCAAGCACGTGGCAGAAGCCAGGAAATGAAAAGGCAGCAGTGCAGGAAACCAGGACACGGCTCATACCATTACCTGGAATGGTGCATATTTGACATGACTTGGTCAGAAAATTATGGCTTCCACTAAGGTGCCTCTGCGCCCTAGGCAGTTCAGAACTGCTATAAAAGACAGCCCAAGTCTCTGCTCTCTCATCCACTTCTCTCACCTCCTCCTCCTCAGGAATCAGGTGAGTGCAAAGCCTCTTCTCCTCCTGCTGCTTCAAGAGCAGCTCTTGCCTGGCTGGAGGTCTCAGCTGAGAGGGGCTGTCGTAGTGCAGGGCTGGGAGCTCCTTGTGCTGGGAGAGGGCCGGGGAAGGAAGGTCTTGTTCAGACAGAGAGAGGCTGGGACTTGGCTGAAGTGGCTCCTGGGCTTTGAGCTGGGCACTGCAGTGTGGGCCAGGAGGTGCCTTGGCTGCATGGTGTGTGGGTGCAGTGCTGCTTCTCATGTGTCCTCACATTCTGCTTCTCCCTTCCTTCCATCCTAGGTGCACCTGTGACCTCAAGCCATGTCCTGCTGCCAGCCCTGCAACCCCTGTGGCCAGTCCTGCGGCCCCTGCCCCCTGGGCAGCAGCTGCACTGAGTGCTGTGTCAGGCAGTGCCAGGACTCCCATGTGGCCATCCAGCCGCCTGCTGTGCTGGTGACCCTGCCTGGGCCCATCCTCAGCTCCTTCCCCCAGAACACCGCCGTGGGATCCTCCAGCTCTGCTGCTGTTGGCAGCATCCTCAGCTCTCAGGGAGTGCCCATCAGCTCTGGGGGCCTTGACCTCTCCTGCATCACCAACTGCTATGGTGGCAGCAGATGCCGTCCCTGCTAAATCTGCTGGCAACATCCTTCGGCAAGAGCTTCCAAGACATCAGAAGACAGACCTGGGCAGGAGATAAGGATTTGGAACATTGTCTTTACAATATGAAGCCATTGTTCCCCTCCCATTTTTTCCTCTTTTCTTTGCTGTCTGTGTCTCCTCAGGCCAGTCTAATGGGGACATATGACCCTCCCTCCCTCTTTTGGGCAAGCAGATGCACACTATGCAAGAGCTCTACTGCATCTTAGTGGCTGCATCTGATGCTCTCTGTGAGCTACCTCCTTTTCTTCTTTACACTGAATAAAGTTTTTTTGCATCCAAGCCTGGGCCTCCAAGTCCTCCTTTGTTCTCTAGAAAATCTTGCAGTCTACTCAGGGAAAATAGGTGGAGGAAACAGAGAATGGGATTCCCTGCAGTGGAGATTTTTCTTCCTTTTCCTTGGAGCTGATGAAGTCTCCCCTGGCAACTCAGCAGCTAAAGGCCATCAGGAAGACATTAGGCAACAGTTGTGAAGGGAAACAAGAATTCCTGGGTCCAGCCGACAGCTTCATCTCTTCATTCTCCTCCACTCCCTTACCTAATCCAGTGATGCAGCCACTGGATCCTGGGCTACCACTGGAGAAATTCTGGCACCACTCCAGGAGTGAGGAAACAACTGAGATTTGGATTTTACCTGCAACTGAAACTGAGGAGCTGCTTGCTCTATAGTGAAGAATGTCACAGCCATAGCAGGGGTTGGGCAAAGGAAAAGGAGAAGGCTCTCTGGTGTTGAGGTTCCAACAGAGAAGAGCTTATTCCTAGTGAAGACATCAGGAATAAAAAACTCTTGAGTGTGACTGGGCTTGGATTTTATACAGTTACAAATCAGGGGGTGGATACAAAAAAAACAACCAATAGAGAGATATCAGGGGAGGAGTGAGGGGATTACATCAACAGATCAGAACCAATCAGGGTAGGTGGGAGGAGAGGGTGAGTCACATGGGCCAATGGGGCGTCGAAGTTTAGGGAAATTCCAAAGGGGTGTCGCAGTCTGGGATTGGCCCAAGGTAAGAGTGGCAGGGAAGGTTCAGGAATAAGGGGCTGGGTTGCCTTGACAGGCAGGGAAAGAGCTGGAACAAGGGGTGGGGAATGGCAGGAGGGACAGCTTTGAGGGAGGGTAAAACCCAGGGACAAACCAACTCATGGAGAACAGAACAAACCACTTAACAAACGCCATAGGGCATATCACTGTCACCCAGCAATGATGAGGAGAGGGAGAGGAGAGGAGCACTGTCAGGAGCACTGACAGGAGCACCTTTCCTCAGGAAATCATGGGGCTGCTATTACTTCAAGGTCTCCCACCTTTCTGGGTATTTATGAGCTAAGATACATCAAGACAAGGCTTGATGGTGTCTGAAAGCAGAGCAACCAGGGGATGTCTTCCTCAGGTCCAAGAGATTGTACCCTTAATAGCTGCTCCTCCATGGTGCCCCAAAATTCCGTTGCTCTGTGAATGGAGAAGGGTCTCCTTATGCCCTCACCCACTTCCATAACTGAGCAACACCTTTCTTCTTTGGCATTCAGAAGTGCAACCGAGGGAAAGACCATACAGACACGAGACTTGAATGCAGCAGAACTTTAATGAAATGAAAGAAGGAAACAAAGCCACTGAAAGTGGAGGTCAGCAGCACAGGCAGCACCAAGGGCAGCAGAGAGTCTGCACTCCTTGGCTCTGGAATAGTTCCTACATAATATTAGTCAACCTGCCCCACAAAGGGGAGAAACCAAATGGTCACTATCAAGCTGGCCTTTGGGGAACATAGAAGCACATAGGAACCAATGCAAACAATGGAAAGGGAGAGAAAGGCAAGTTTGGTCAGCTTTTGTGCAAACAGCACTCAAAACAAGATCCTCTGCCCAACACCGTGTTCTGAGTTCCTCAGGATGTCTCGTTGGGGCTCTCTTAGCATCTTTAGCAGGGACGACACCTGTTGCCACCGTAGCGCCTGGTGATGGAGGAGATGTCAAAGCCCCCAGAGTTGATGGGCACTCCGTCAGAGCTAAGGATGTTGCCAACAGCAGCAGAGGTGGAGGATCCCACCACGGTGTTCTGGGGGAAGGAGCTCAGGATGGGCCCAGGAAGGGTCACCACCACAGCAGGTGGCTCAATAACAACAGTGGAGTTTTGGCACTGCCTGACACAAGGCTCGTTGCAGCTGTTGGCCAGTGGAGTGGGGCCACAGGGCTGGCAGGGACGGCACTGGGTGTTGCAGGACATGGCTTGAGGCTGCAGGTGCACCTGGCAAAGAGAACAGAGAGGAAACAGAGCACAAAGCTGGGTGGGTGGGTGAGGAGCAGCCTGGTTACCCCATCACAAAAGAGCCAAGGCCGCCATGAATGGGAAGCTGGAGACTGGTCCAGGAGCCCTACAAAGAGCAGCCTGGCTCAGGAAGGTCTCTCCCAGGCAAAGAAAGCAAAAGGCACCACCGTCACCAGCCTCTCCCCATGCCAGCCTCCTCCCTACTTTCCTCTCTCAGGACCAGATGCTCCAATCCCCAAATATGAGAAAGCCAGCATCACTCGAGATACCCACCAAGCAGAGATCTCACTTTGGCAGAGAAAGAGAAGGGGCTTCAGACTCACCTTGTTCCCAAGCAGAAGGAAGCAAGAGAAGTGGATGAGAGAGCAGAGATTTGTGCTGCCTTTTATACCTGCCCTTGACTGCCGCAGGAGCAGGGGCAGCCTTTGCAGAGGTAACAATTTCCCAGCAAGCTCATCTTGAATGCAAACCAGCACACCTAATGATATGGGCTGTGCTTTCATTTCCTACACTGCTGCCTTTTCATTTCCAGGTTTGTTCCGTGCCTGTTCCCCAGTGAAGGTTTCTTCTGATCCCTGGGATTAAAGGCCTCAGGATTTCTAAGGCAGGAATGCAGCAGTGCAGGCAGAAGACTCAGTTTATGTACTGCATGGGCCCAGACCAGGAAAGTGATGCTATCCTGATCACTCTTCTGGGGTTGTTTGAAGTGTTATTTTCAGGAAGAAACTGCAGCACTCATAGAATCATAGAATCACATAATCACAGAATGGCTTGGTCTGGATGGAACTCATTCATAAAGAGAAGCAGTGACACTCACTAGATGAGATTGTTCCAAGCCCCATCCAAGCATCGCCTTGAACACTTTCAGGGATGTGGCAGCCTCAGCTTCTATGTGAAGTTCCATTGCCTCACCACCCTTTTAATGAGGAATTTGTTCCTAACATCAAATCTACATCTTTCCTCTTTTAGTTTAAATCATTCCACTTTTTCCTATCAGTATCTGCCTGTGTAAAAAGTCAGCATCCATCTTTTTGTAAGCCCCCTTCACACACTGACTGGCCTCAATGAGGTCTCCTCAAAGCCTTCTCTTCTCCATGCAGAACAACCCCAAATCTCTCAGCCTGTCTTCAGAGCAGAGTTGCTCCAGCCCTCTGAGAATCTTTGTGGCCTCCTTTGGACCTGCTCTAACATGTCTATGTCTTTCTCATGCTGAAGGAGAATCACTGCCCTCACCCTGCCAGTCAGGCCTTTTGTGATGCAGCCCAGGATGGCTTTCTGGACTGCAAGTGCAAACTGTTGGCTCACGTCCAGGTTTTCATCCACCAGAACTTCCAATTCCTTCTTCACAGGTCTGCTCTCAATGGGTTCATCTCCCAGTCTGTCCTCATGCGTGGGATTTCCTAATGCAGGTGCTGCACCCTGCGCTTGAACTTCTTAAATTTCATCAGGTTCTCATGGGCCCACTACTCAAGTTTCTCCAGGCCTTCTTGGATGGAAATCTCCTCCTGGATGGAAATCTCCTTCTGTAGTGTCAGCTCAGCTTTGTGTCATCTGCAAATATGCCAAGGGGACACTTGATCTAATATCCCTGTGACTGAAAAAAATACTAAAAAGCAGCAGTCCCAAGACAGAGCCCTGAGACAAGCCCCTGTTCCCCTACCTCCATGTGGTCATAGAGCCACAGACCAAAGCTGTGTCCATCCAGCCATTTTCACAGTCACAATAGTACACCCTTCAAATCCATGGGTATTGGGTTTGCATGGCCTGGCTTTGGTAGCAGGAGGGCTACAGGGCTGGCTTCTGTTGGAAGTTGCTGGAAGCTTCCTTGGTGTCCAGCAGAGCCAAAGCCAGCTGGCTCCAAGGCAGACCCACCACTGGCCAAGGCTGAGCCCTTCAGAAATGAAAGTGATGCCTCAGGAATAACACATTAAAAAGGGAAAAAAAAAAATATTGCATGGCTGTAATTGGGGCTAGAGAAAAGCAGAGTGAGAATATGTGAGAGAAACAGCTCTGCAGACACCAGTGGAGAAGGAGGAGCAGGAGCTGCTCCAGGCTCCAGAGCTGAGATGGTGAAGACCACGGTGAGGCAGCTGTGCTCCTGCAGCCCACAGAGGGAAGCCTCTGCTGGAGCAGAGTCCTGGCAGGGACCTGTGAAGAGAGGAACCCATGCTGGAGCAGGTTTGCTGGAATGACTTTGTGAGGGTTCCTGAAGGACTGACCCCATGGAAGAGTGCCCCACATTGTAGCAGTTCTTAGGGAGCCATAGCCTGTGGGATATGGTTCCTAGGCTCCTTCTCATTTTGGGCAAGTTATGGAGAACTTTTCCCATGGGAGGGACCCCACTCCTCTCCTTGAGCAGCAGCAGGAACAACCTGTGATGAATTGACCATGAGACCCATTCCTGTCTCCCTGCTCTGTTGGGGGGGAGGAGGAGGTAAAGCTGGGAAGGAGGGGGAGGTCGGGGGCAGATGTTCAGATTTTTGGGTTATTTTTATAAGACTTATTTTACTTCTCATTATCCTGCCCTACCTTTATTGATAATAAATTCAATTAATATGCCTTAGTTGAGTCAGTTTTGCCTGTAACAGTATTTGGTGCGAGGTCTCTTCCAGTCCTGATCTCAACTCATGAACCACTGTTATATTTTCTCTCCCCTGTCCACTTGTAGAGGAGAGTGACAGAGTGGCTTTGGTGGGTGCCTGGCAACCAGCCAGGGTCAACCCACTACATCAATCTCTCCAATTTGGAGATAAGGACTTTGTGTGCGCTGTGTTGAAGGCCTGACAGAAGTTTAGGAAAATGACACAGTCTTCCCTTACTGAGTGTTTCAGTCACTCCATCTTTGAAGGCCACCAGATTGCTCAGACATGACTTGCCCTAAGAGCAGTCTTGCTGTCTGTTTTGAATCACCTCCTTGTCTGAGTATGACTTACAGCTGCTTTCATGAGGATCTGTTCCATGATCTCCCCAGGCATAGAGGTGAGGTGTACTAGTCTGTGATTCCCTGGGTCCTTTGTATTGCCTCTTTAAAAATCCAGTCTGCTTCTGGATGCCCAAGGATTCCTGTGCGTGAGGATGGGTCATGTCCTTCCCTATTCCTCCCTCCTCAGCTCACCCTGATGGTTTTTCGTTGTCTCCCCGTGTGTGTGCACTGGGCTGCAGGCTCTGACCCCATCCTACCTAACTCTGCCCTCAGGAAAAACTTCTGGCTTGTTTTGACTTGTCCACTCTCTGAGCAGTCTGTGAGCACACAAACAATGCTGGGAGCTTGCCTGGGGCCTTGCCCTTCCCCACACGGCTCCAGCCCTGCTGCTCCTGTCTCCTGGTGTCCTCAGCAGAGTTCACAGCAGGGTGTGTTCCTCCTACATGTGTTCATGTCTTTGGTGCTCTTGTGTGCAACCAGACTAATGTGAATGCAGCACAGGTGCATATTTGACAGGTGTATATGAACCCATGTCCTTTTGTGTCTCTCCTCACAAACAGATTTTGTTGCTCATGGCAGGGACACTCTCCACAGCTCTGTGCAGGAGCTCTGCAAAGCAGCAGGAAGATAATGCAGCTGAAAGGTAATGGCATCAACCTCCTGGAAATGTGTCCAAAAAGAGACACTGTAATCAATCAATTTCCTGAACCTTGCTTGTCCTGATCCTTCAGAGCTCATACTCCACGGACGGTGATGCCAAGCCCCAACAAGGACTACCAATTTAGATCCTTAATTTAGTTGAGTTTGACAGGATTTGCACTGCCTCAGTATGATGGGCAGCCCCTCTCTGCCTGCCTCACTAGGTCAGGACACAGCTGCTAGAGAGTTCAAAAGGATGGGATTTGGTTTATCCTGGAGAAAGAATAAGGAATCCTATTTACTCTCCTTGTTCAGGCCGTGTCCAAATGGATCTGCTTCCAGTGAATTGTTGGTGCTTCCAGGCGTGGGACACAACCTTCCTTCATGCCTGAGCCAATGTCAAATGTATTGATCCAGATCATCAGCCTGGAGCTGTGTCAGGCTAAGATCTTGGCCCAAAAAGGCACTGAATTAAAAAATCACAGTAAATGTTATTGGTGTGCACTGGATAGAAGGACAAACACTGTGTGTTGCAGAGGGGAAGCCAATGAACAGGGTTATTGGGCAGATGGGGTGCCCCAGCAGTCACTCTGTGGTGCAGATGTAACAGTGTCCCCAGGTAGGAGTGCTGCTTGTGCCCTGGGTCTGCCTGTGGAGCAGAGAGAGAGAGTGGGGGACTCCAAGGGTGCCAGGCAGAGCAAGGAGCTGGATCACCCCTATGTTAGCAATTTACCCAGTGACAGCAGTGCAGGTCTTGTGGGTGAAAAAATGAGGCTGGGCATCACAAGAACATTGGCCAAAGAGATGGAGGAGTGCAGAGACTCTTCCCTAAATCTCCAGCAGGAAAGTGTTCAGGGAACTTTTCCTGTTGGTCCCTTCATGCTTCAGCTGCTATTTGAGCTTAGCTTTGCCTTCATCATCTCCTTCCTTACATTCAGGGAGCTGTAGACATCTGAGATGTCCCAACCTTTTAATCACTCACTTAATCTGAGGGTAGGAGTCAAAAAAGAAATTTTGGAGAATCACAGGGGAAAAAAAAAAACAAACAACTAAATGTCTACATTAATAGTGAAGCCAGATGTTCTTCACAGAAACTCAGAGATTACTGCCATGACCACATCATGGAAAGAATGAAGAATGTTGTACATTAGTAGGCCAAACTTTCTCTGGGGGCACTCTGTGCCATGCTGTCATCAGTCCTGTTACCCACTGTCTATAAACAGTGAAGGGATGGCTAAAATATGAGGATTTCCAACAGGTATGCACAGGGTACATTCATTAGAACTGCAGCCTGCAGAACTTGGTTTACACAGTCCCCCATCAACCTGATTGCCAAGAGAGATGTGTTCAGTGCCCTGATACCTCTGTCTTCCTGACTGACTGTTGGTCAAACAGGCAAGAGGAGGAAATGCCATCAAAGGACTTTAAAACCTCACTTTCTAAAAGAAAAGGACACCTGTCTGCATTCCAGACTCCCAGATGGGGAAAGGATAATTTACACCATCTCCATCATGGATGGATGGATGGATTAATGGATTCTGTTTATCCAGCCCTTCCTGACTGAGGCCTCTGATGTGCTTTTGATCAAAACAATGCTCAAGAGCATCAGACTAAGCAAGGGGGACATTTGTGAACAAAACTTGTCTTCCACAAACAGCTTACAGATACTGCTAAGTGTGTTCAGAACGACTTTGCACAGAGTTTTTCTGGAACAGCACTGATCCAGAGAAGGACCTTACACAGCAGGGCCTGTGAGGCCCTGAGCCTGAGCAGAGCTACTCCATCTGTGGTTGGGAGTGACAAGGTACCTCCCAGCAGTGAAGGGTCTGTGGGCTTCCATTACTGTCCTTGGACTGCCCTGGCCCATGAGGGATCACAGGGACTCCAGTGTGAGG